TCTCGCTCTTGCTCAGGCTAGTTTTGAACTCCTGAGCTCAAACAATCCGCCTGCCTCAGCCTCCCAGAGTGCTAGGATTACAGGCATGAGCCACCATGCCCAGCCTTTCTTTACCATTTCTAAATTGTACAAATTTTAAAATTACCACAAAATGTTACGAGATATAAAAGTCTTTCTCCTTTGCAATAAGTCATAATGGGTGATTATCTAATCTAAAAAGCTTAATGTCAGGAATAATTTTATTGCTGAAATCTAAAAGTTAAAGAGTCCTACGTATGCGTATCCCACACTGGTGCAGCTGGCTGTTCATTATTCAGAGTATATACTACCAACCCAATGGTATCGTGCTGGATATGCTTAGCATCAAGGCTGGAGTAAAGATCCACTACTGGTTCAAATGCACCCAGCATACAGTAGATTCGAACAAGCAGCAGTTTGAATTGAGCATTGGAAGGGCTATGGGTTAATCCCTCTTCCAGCAAAGTCAGGGCCTGCCACACAGCAGTCTCATCACCTGGAACCAAAATACAGCATTATTCACTGAGCTTGACAGCAAATGGAGGTTTCTTTAAAAACAAAACCTTATTGACAGCATCACCTCCCTTAACTATTTTATAAATGAGTTCAGATGGCAGAGGACAAATTTTAGATACACCACTGGAACCAAAATAGAGAATTTTCCTAATCGACAGTCTCTCGCAACAGTTAGGTCAGCTATTAAATACGCCCTCTGCAAAACTAATGCAGATCTTAAGTAGCCAGGTCATGTGGGGGGAAGTTATAGAATCTCGTAGAATTTCAAAGAGATGAACTTTGAAGGAGAACTGGAGTCCACCAACCTTACCCCTGCAGGATTTTTTCTACAAGACTCTAGAGATAGATGTTCTCTATAGACATTGTTGTTGTTTTTTTTTTTTGTATGTAGCTCTAACAGAGTGTCAAATAGGATATTTTTCAAAACTGTTGATTAATAATCAAACTAAAATGATACACGTTTTTGGCCTACCAAATTTCAAAAGGTTACATGTATCAACATTCTTAAAGATTAAGTAACTTGTCCATTATTATCTATCTAAATTCTATAAAATATAAAGTTTCATATATAAAACTATTCACATACTGTGTAATGATGAGAGAATGGCTAATTATAGTAAAATCCACACATGGAAACACTGTACAGCCATTTGAAAATGTTAATATGGAGCTTTTAATTACAACGGAAAAATATTTGTGCAATAATGTTCAGTAAACACAGACACAAAAATTCAAATTAGTATGAAGATTTGATCTCAAGTCAGCAAAATATGTACAGAGGAAGAGAAAAGAAGAAAATAGGAAAAAATGTTAGAGTGCCTTTGGGATCTAAAAAGGAGAGATTTCAAATAAACTGTTTTCCAAAATTTTTACAAACTCCTGTTATAGTTAGTAAAAACAGCTAAAATAGATCTCCATGTAATAAGATTTTAAGGTCATATTCTATTTGCTTTTTTCCAAAAGAAAAGAAGACATAACCAAAAA